AGAGATTCCCATTCACTCCTACTAAGTCATAATTTAGTTGAGAGACCTTATTTTCCCCGACCTGAAATGTTCTTCTTTCCAGACTTTCGGTATGGGTAGACAGTTACACATCTACAGTAAACAGTAGCTTACCGGTACATTCACTGGGAGGAATAAATGACATTAGACTGATCTTTCGGAAACAAGATRATGAAGTTCCATCGACTTTCTTCTACAGTGGCGTGTCTCGCCGTATTTTTTGTTGCTTGCCATACCGTTGSATGCCAGGAAACAAATGAAGGTGGAGATTGGTATTCCAATTTGGCGTTGGTCATTCATCGAAACGGSGAGGCCGATCCCTGTGGAGCGACGGAAGCAGGCTCCATCGATAGCGGCTTCGTCGAGACATTGACCACCGCCGGCGACAAGTACGAAATGGAGACGCGGCTGACCGACGGTATAGCAAAGATGCTCGACGATGCTCCATCCGCTTCTAGGTGTGGACGCGAGGATGAGAAGGAGAAACTCAACCCCGACTTCCACAAACTGTATAGACATTGTGATCGCGGTCGCAAGAAGACCCCCATTCTGCTGGATCACGAAAAACTCGTACGAACTACAACGGATAAGCTTCCCTGCCGTTTTTACACGAGGGAGGGATTGAGGATCCAAAACCTAGAACAGTTAAAAACGATGGCGGAGAAGGCAAGAACTGCACCTGCCCAATCTTGTGCCAATCCACAAGAGGGYGACGATGGGTTAAAAAGTTGCGAGGCGCCAGAGGTTCATTTGTATGCAGTTCCTGCTGGCCGAGTGTTTCATTTCGCACCGGCGTTTGTCGGAGAAACTTTTGAATTGGACCACTTGAAACTTTTACCAGATGCATCAAAACCAATCGTCCTCAAGGTGTTGGCAACCAGTCCAAAGGTCTTTGATATTCTGCATGTTTTCACCCCAGAAGAAGCCGCATCGATCGTGGAACGGGCCCTTGCAGAAACGTCGCCCACCCACAAAATGAAAAGAAGCACCACGGGAGCAGGATCGGCTTCTAGTGTATTCAGTAAACGGACCAGTGACAATGGTTTTGATACACACGGAAAAGTAGCGTTGGCGATCAAGAAACGAATATTCGAAGTTTTAGGATACGACGAATACTGGGATGGRCACGATGATGGCTTGCAAGTCTTGAGATACAAGTGAGTAGCAAATAATGGATTAGGCGAGAAGTTCTTCGTTAACGAACACAACCTTCGCAACATCACCGAACCTCTYATCACGGCTTATTGTTATCTCTCAACTCTACACTTGACTATTCGATTCTCCTTTTTTGTTTGTAAAGCCTTACCCAGGCATACGTGCCCCACATGGACTATCTTCCTGTATCTACAAAAWCAGCCTTTGACTACAACTCTCCCAGAAAAGGAGGCAACCGCTATGCGACCGTTTTGCTTTATATGACCGATATTGAAGAAGGCGACGGTGGGGAGACTGGTAAGCGATGCGCAGGATGGCGATGGTATCCATTTGTTGATCACAAGACCATGGGTTGATCGTTAGCTTACACTGTGTTCATTCATGGATTCGAATCACGTTTGTACCAATGGGCGAAAGTGTTTTCTAAAATCTGGCCGGAGGGAGAACAAAAATCCGAGGAGGACGCGTTGGCGGAGTTGAGAGCSTCGGGGGAYGCAGAACGAGCCGGGATCGAAGAGGAATCGTGGGAAGAACTAATGGTAGCTACCTGTCGGTCGAAATTCTCCGTTCGACCCCGTGCCGGGCGCGCTGTGCTTTTTTACTCTCAATTGCCYGACGGGAGGGAAGATCCCATGTCCCTGCACGGGGGCTGTCCGGTGCTGAAGGGAGATAAGTGGGCMGCCAACTTGTGGGTTTGGAACACGCCGAGGGAAAGTTTTGAGGGAGCTCCSAAGAGGGAAGACATGACGTCCGAAGAGCGGAAACGCCTGGAAGAATCTTCACGTCAAACAGCAAAACAAATAACTGCATCATTCATTAATTCAGGAAACGACCCAGCTATGAAGAATGCGATGCTCTACTACGACGAGGCGCAGTTTTGGGGCAATTTTGGACACGATGACCCACAACTGGGTGCTAATACCTTTGAAGGACACAGATGGAACGTCAAGGTGGACGGACAAGTAGTGAAGACTTGGGTTATAAGTGCGGAACAACAGCAAGAATTCATTATTTAATGGTTGATTTACTGATATGCCCCAATCTATTTTTCTCTATTTCACTGTGCTGTKTAACTACSTTAAATCACAGTTTGCCGTTCTATTGCGGTCTCAAATCTATCGCGGACGTACATTCTCCGCAACGCGGATCCAAAATCGACTGCCTCAATTCGTTCATCAACCGGCTCCAGTTGCTTGCTGTCGTTAGCACAAAGTCATTGGCTTCCATCCCCACCAAGAGGGAKCCGAGAGCGAGGAGGCCCAMCCTGCCGTTCAAGGATTTGGCCATCTTAGGAACACCATTGTACTCGTCAACCCGGTGGTCGCTGGTGTCCACCAAAAATTGGTCTACGAAAAGATTCCATCCTTTAGGAAGAGCCTTTCTGAACTCGTCGACCGCCCGAGGATCTTCTGTGGCCAGGTATATGTTGGCTGTCTCTTCGGTGCTTGTGAAATTCGTATGTGTCGCGGACTTGGATGAGCTAGTCCGTTTGTCTAAGATTTGACGAACAGCCTGGATGTAATCGGAAATACCAACTTTTTTCCTGCATTGAAAAAAMAACATSAAATGCGTGCAATGAATTGTAAGATGAGAACAGACACGTAGTTTCGTCCGCTTTTCCATCGCCCTCACCACGAGCAAAAGAATATCGGTAGTGGTTGCACATTGGTCGGKATTATTTACGTACATCTCGGGCAGTCGCTTGCGTTTTTTTCCCTGATACGTTGTTACTTTGTCTCCTGTAGAAAAGAAGAAGAAAAAAGAGCTTTTGAATGAGCGCCACTCAAAGTTTATTTCGATTCGGCTGGGCACCGCGCCACTTGGTAGCGGAAAGATTCTAGCGATCGACCAATCCAATCCAATCCAATCGATCGATCGGTACCTACCCCATCGTATGTGAACCGTGATAAGGTCCTTCGGAACCCCGTCCCTGCCGCCAAAGACCAGATTGAGTTGCCGTTCCGCCTCCCGGACCACCCGCGGGGCCGTGCGCACGAATAGTGATTCCACGACGGCCGTTGCCAGCTTTTGCTCCCCGCCGTCCTTTTTCGACGGCAGGATCGCCGAGGCGTAATCGCCGCTCGGAACCAAGACGTTGCCGTTGGGCCTGCTGAGGCCGTGTTCCGGATCGAATGCCGGATTGGCGAGGGCGTGTTCCAGATCCCCGGGACAGTTCAGCTCGGAGGCGACAAAATAACACCGCATGGGCGATCCCAGCGGGGTGCCAAAGGKTTCGCGCCCSCTGCCCGGGGTGTCGGTGGCGCCGGAGCCTTCTCTTCCGCACTCGTCCCGGTCCATCCACGTCCAGTTTCCCACCGTCCGAATGCGCCGGTTTGCCTCGATTCCGTTTCCGAGCGCCAGAGCGTACGTGTGCAGATCGCTCCCGAGACCAAAGCGGTTCCTGTAGGTGAAGGTCCCCACGGGAACGGAGCAGTTCGATTGGTGTCGCAGGATGTTCTTCGTCAGATCGAGACTGGGGGAGAGGTTGGTCCAGTCGTATCGCAAACGGAGCTGCCTCTGCGTCCGTKYCGACGACAAGGCCGCGGATGGTTGTCGCAGAGCCCCTCTCTGGTGTTTGGTGTCCTCCCGCCGATTGTTCGAATTCAATGCTGGGCTCGGCTGTTGCTGTTCCTGTTCCGGATCGGGGTACGCCAGATGGTGGTCCTTCTGTTGCAGCCCTGCTGTCCGCACCACGGAAGAGTGGCGCCTGTACGTCAGGCACGACACGACCACGACCAGAGCCATCATGTACGCGGCAAGGCTGGTAGTACGTCGGGCGCTTCTGTTTCTGCCGGTGTGGATCTCCACCATGGTTCTTGTTCGCCGAGAGAAGTTGGATGACTGTGCTGCAGGCTTTGAGGTCTATGAATGTTCAAAGACCGTTATGAACGATCGCAACCAATCATGGTTGGTGGGCTGTGTACGGTGTGCTGTTTCAACCTTATCTCGTTGTGAAACTTTCCTTCGATCTCGATTTTTTCGGAAACACCCATCTCGTGAGGCGGTCAGGTGTTGATGAAGGGAACGACGCGATTTGAATTCAAATTCGTTTTCATTGTTTTTGTGAAATCTCAAAATCCCCAAAACAAAATCCATTCATTACAGTTCTGYAAAGAGACAGAAATAGTTCCAAATTTCGGGATTGATTTGGACTCTCCAAATCCAAACAATCTGGAGCTCGAGCCAACCGTCAAAATCGGGCAATCGGCTCGGCTCGGGTAACGAGCAACGAGTCGAGTGACAATCGTACTACGGTACGTACCGTACACTAAGAGCGGTCGGGACCGGGGAAACAACCTGAAACCAACAACAGGTTTTCAGCCTTGCTCGGCACTACAAGTAGTAGAAGCCAGAGAATCGGTGATTGGATTGAACCATTACAAACCCGAAGGCAAGCCGCAACAACAAAGGA